ATAAATGTTATGGGAAAATAATTAGGTTATATATAGTTATATCAATTAATTTACATTTAAATATTTATAGTCACGCTTATTAAATAGTAGCACCTACAACTGGTCTAATGGAAAAAAAAATAAAACTAAGTTATTTTTGTCATATAATTGATTGTTTGTGTTTTTAGGTACCGCGACTGGAAACAACCCATTTCCTTCCGAAGGCTGCTGTAAGTACTTTTAAACCCTGTTTTAGGATAATGTGATAGTTAGGATCCATTTGTTCGTTTTACGAAAAAGCAACCATTTAAAAACAATTTACTTGAGACTTAACATTTGTATTTACTTAGAAAAATTAGTAAACGAAAAACACCTCATTATTGACAACGAAGATCAATACCAATAAAAATCTCAAACTAGTACTCAACTGCCACATTAACCCCAAACTATAAAAATTATCCAAAAAGTCTTAAACTTATTGTACGATAGTCAATTCAATCCCAAACCTTTTAATTATGTCAATTTAGTCCTAAATCTTTTGATAATTTGTCAATTTAGTCTTTTTAAACAATTTTGATTGGCAATCGTTGTAGTGGAACGCCGGCTAGCTGACCTATGCGGCATGGCTGATACTAACGTGGGTGATTTTTGAAAAAATTTTGGTCACTGGTGAAAAGAAAATGGAAAAAAGAGAGAAAAAAAAGATAGAAAAAATTAGAAAATTAAAACAAAAACCGTCCACATCAATGTCAGTCATGTCACGCAGGTCGACTAGCGTCCGCATCAGTGATTTCCAGTCAAAATTAGCTAGAAGGACATTGGCACATTTTGGACTGAATTGGCCACCATACAATAGGTTTAAGACTTTTTGGTCAATTATCCCACCCTAAACTAATTTTCGTATCACAAAAAAAAAATCTTAAACTGGTATATCCCTGTCACATTTATCCAAATTGATTTTCATGTCACAAAAATTAGGGATTTGAGCAGATTCTTGAAACTTGAGAGAGCTCTTAGGTTAAAATTAACAGATTTCCTAATATAAGATTTTGGTGATTTGAGATTTCTTGTGACATAAATATTAGTTTTTGGTAAATATCGCATATATGTACCAGTTTGGGACTTTCTGTGACATGAAAATTAGTTTGGGGTAAATATGATACGAATACACTAGCTTGAATTTTTTGTGACACAAAAAGTAGTTTAGAGTAAATATGGCATATGTGTACCAATTTGAGATTTTTTATGGTAATAGCCTTAATAATATTTGTATTGATGGTTAAAATATATTTTTCATTCATTCAGCTTCTTGAACAATACATAATTTTTTGAAAAATATTTTACAAATCATTGATTTTCAAATCATTTTAGGAAATACAGTACTCATCTCATAACATCCTTGAAAAAGCATGGGAAATTAGCTAGGAAAAAATAGAGTTCGCGGATATATGCAGGCGAAAATCTTTAATTAAATGTTTTTTGTTGCAGAAGAAGGTGACGTCAAAAAAATATTCAATAACTTGGGGATGATTACTTGTAATATGGGTGATTTTGGATGTTAAAATATTACTTTTCTTTATATTTACTAAAGAAAGCTATATTATTGTGGTTATTTATTTTTTATAGATGCAATGTTGCGAAACATGTCCGAACATGAGCATCGAGGTTCTGTTTATGGAATGGTTGTTGATTATCTACATATTACCTAGCTACATAATTTCGTATAACAATTCCTTACAATCGATTGCAAGTAAAATTACGATCGCTGTCTGAATTCAGCACGTTGACTTAGAATTTTTCTTCCCCCTGTTGCCGAAACCACTCGGATTATTACCCCATTTGGCTGTCGAATTGCAAATGATTGGACAGACTAGGGATCATTGTTAATCGATTCAAAGTCAAACAATTGTTCCCGTTATTAGACGTCGAGGAGGGACCAGCATCGAGGTCGTAGCATCATAGATTATAACAGCATAACTAGTCATGGAGCTAGAGAACTTTCTATGTGAACGATTCAAGAGAGAAAGATAAGGAAGGAATCAGGAGAAAATGGTAAGCAACACTTTGCTCATCCGCATGATTTGCTGCATAATTATGGTGTTGCTCCTATGTGGGATAGAATAAAACCCGAGTTTCCAACTTATTTCATTTATATATATCGGGGTTGTTTTTATCTGTTACATCGTCCGAAGAATCAGGGATTGACTCTATATGATATAGTTTTCGTGTTCACCCCATTGTCTTCCCAAGGATGTTGCAAGCATTCTCCACTCCCTTGCGAGAAATATGCAACATCTTAATTATGGGAAACAAAACTTAATAACCAAATGATTTTGTTGAAATGTAGAACACTGAGTAACGGAAGCAACATGTTTTTCCAATTCAAGAGGTGCTACACTACACCCAGGAATATTTCGTGTTCGGGGTTTAATTCAATATAACTTTCTTTTAGCAAAGTAAGGCATTTATTGTAAGCTTTACTCTATCAAAAAGTTAGAAAAGCAACGCTCTATCCTCTCGGACTATGAGTCCTTTGTAAAGTTGCAACCCGATACCTCGTATGAACTGAAGTCTAATAGATGGGATTGAAGCGCTTCAAATTCATGTCAAGATACGATGATCCTTGCTATCCCGCTCCTTAAAACTATCCACAAATTGATCCCCAGCTTCATCGGTTTCCTGAGTAGGCTTGCCAATATCTCCAACTACGTAATGCCAAAATCTACATCGTCATGATGAAAACCTTGCCATTTCTTAAGACCATAAAATGTAATTGGATCCATTCAAAATGATTTGAATGGGCAGTGACACCTCAATGTTATCCGTTATAAGCACCTTATCGTAGAAACTAGTAGCAGAAAATATGAAAACAATAACACCTTAGGGCGCGAATGACAACACTTCTGTTTAGGGAATCAATTTATGACCAGAAATAGATTTTTCTATTTATATTCCATAGATGAGTTTCTGAGCAAAAATATGCATTTGATAACGACACAAAATTTATATTCCCGAAACAAAATTTTATTTGATAACGACACAAAATTTCTCCCTCTCGAGCAGCCGGCGATTGGGCGGTGGACGGCGACGAACGACGAGTGGCAGACAGTGGGTGGCGGCGGGAGGCGGCGGCTGACGGCGGCGTGGCTAGTGCGGAGGACAGCAGTAGGAGGTGGCAAGAGGCGGGCGACGGCCGACGGCGAGAGGAAGGCGGTGGCCGGCGGCGGGACGCGAATGGCAGCGGACTGCAAGTGGGCCGCGGTGGGCGATGGATGGACGACCAGTTAGTAGCAATTAGGGGTGAGCGGTTCCCGGTCCGGTCCGGTTCCAAGGTGGAACCGGGAACCGGACCGAGAGAACCGGTTCCCAATTTTGGGAACCGCGGACAGGACCGGTTGGTTCTAGGACCGGGAACCGGACCGGACCGTCGGTCCGGTCCGGTTCCGGTCCGGTCCAATGGAACCGGTTACTTAGAGTTTAGGGTTTTTTTTTTGGTCAAACACTTAAAGTTTAGTTCACATTTTACTAATTTTTGTCAATAAATTTATGTCAATGAAGTTCACTTAAGGTTTAATTCACATTTTACTATTTTTTATCAATGAATTTATGATAATGAAGTTCACTTAGAGTTTAGTTCACATTTTATTATTTTTTTAAAGAAAAAAATAACAAATATATATATTAAATAGTCGGTCCGGTCCGGTCGGTCCGGTCCGGTCCGGTCCGGTTCCCCCTTGGAACCGGGAACCGGACCGCCCGGAAACCGGTTTCGCTTTTAGGAACCGGGAACTGGACCGATAGTCCCGAGAACCGGACCAAACTCGTCGGTCCGGTCCGGTCTCGGTTTGGGCGGTCCAAGTTGCTCTCCCCTAGTAGCAATAGCGAGTGATAAAAAGAAATATTATTTCTCATTTTTGTTCCAGAAATAGAAAAATAAAAAAATTTACTTCATTTCTGTTCCAAACCTATTTCCAAAATTAAAATTTGTTCTAGAAATAGAAAAATGAAATTGCGTTACCAAATGGATTTCTGTTCCAAACTTGTTTCCCGCAACAAAAAAAATAGAAAAATAAAGAAATGGAATGATTATCATTCAAAGTCTTAGAGGCTGAATTCATTACTCGAACTGGCTGTCGTGTGCCCTTTGGGTGATCTAGACCAACCCTCCATTACAAACACAAGTCTTCTAGGCGTCTTCACCCTTCTTTCGAGTGTATCCAAACACCTTCCAAGTGCACATTTGAGTACAAGAGGTCCCGGTATGTCCTTATTCCCCAAGACCCTTGAGAGTCTCATGCATACTAAAGCCAAACTAACAATTATACCCACTCTAAAGCGCTGAATTTTCAATCCAAGATACAGTCCGGACACCGATTTTCGAACACCCGAAATCCGGCATTGAATTTTAGTGCACTTAGTGCGCTAGCCGAACGTCCTGCTCACGAGAGGGACAATTTGGACATCCGACCCATGAATGGCCGAGAAAAAGGTCGAACGTTCAACGCTTTATTAGCCAGACAATTGATTCACCATTCAACCAAGATGGACGTCCAACCTGTCACTGGCCGAATGTCTCAATTCGACTGTTTGCCTCACAAACCGGCTTCACCTAAGTTTCGTGCTTTCGTGTATCCTTTCCCGGTCGTTGCAGGCGTCGCGAAATCTACAAAAAGCTCTTCAAATTAAACGAGATTTTGTCACCTTTAAAACATATCGTCATATCCACAACCAAGGTGGAAACACGACGTCGGTAGCTAACTACGGATTGTCATTGGGTTTCTTCGGGGCCCTCTGGGCCCAGTTGTTTCGAAGCTACGTCTACAAATGGATAAGACTTTGAGAGAGAGAGAGAGAGAGAGAGACTCTCATGGGCCTATTGGGTATGGGCCCAAGGCCCAAAACCTATATAGTCCAAGAGCCCAATGCATTGGTTGAAATGGGCCAGCAGCATGACGCTCTTCTCGACCTTCGGCCTCTTCTCTGTCTCGGAGTTTTATCTACACACTTCCTTCGGAAACTCCTCTTCTCCAGTTCCATTCTTCCCTTTCTCTCTTCCTCTCCTCCAATGGCGTCGATCAACTTCAACTTCTTCGACAACTGGTTCACCAAGCCCCCCAACCCCATCCCTCTCCTGAACCTCAGCGCCGTCGCCCGGTCGCTCCCTCCCAAATCCCGGGCCGCCCCCAACTTCGCCTCCCTAAGCTCGAGCCTCGACCCCAAGAAGCCCCCCGCCGGAGGCGGCGCCGGCAGCGGCGAGGGGCCCGGCAAGAAGGACGGCGGCGAGGACAACATCTACAGCCAAGTGGTGGACCAGTTCTTCTGGGAATGTGAGAACTTGCCCGACTACAGGCACACCCCCGAGGTGGAGAAGATCCTGAACGAGGACCCGGTGTTCGAGACCAAGGAGAACCCCACCGAGGAGGAGGTGCGGGAGAACGAGAGGTGGTGGGAGGAGTTCTGGTCGAGCCCCGTCGTGAAGTTCGCGAAGCGAGCGGAGGAGATTGCGGACATGGTCAACGAGCTGGAGCTCCAGGAGAACGCCGAGCCGTACAGGGACGAGGACAAGAAGTTGTGGCAGGCGGTCCCGCACGTGCCGGGGCTCGACGGCCGCCCGATGCCCAGGAAGGCGATCAAGACGAAGAAGGAGAGCGATGACAAGTTCTGGGATTTCGCGCGGCAGTTCTTCTTCGGGCTCTGGGGGTTCAGGCAGCGGCCGTACCCGCCCGGGCGGCCCATTGATGTCGCGCAGGCGATCGGGTATAAGCGGCTCGAGAAGCGGTATTATGATTGTAAGTCCTGTTGAGATTGACCTTGTGTTGAGTTGGGTGGATAACTTTTTTTGGTAGAATGATTGGTTGATCATCGTTAAGGCTGGAGTTTCTGGGTTGCTTGTGTTATTGTACAAGATCTGTTTGTGGAATTTCCGGTGTGGAAATATCTGTCCTTATGATCTAGAGGAAGATTTGTTTTTTGGTTAATTGATTCTGAATTAGCTTGACAAATGTGTAATCTCTGTACTTGTATGTTTCTTTCTTTCCTGCTAATGCTATTTGATACATTCAAACGAGAACATGAGCTTGTTTGCTGGTGATGTTGGTACAGCTCTATACATGTTTCAATTTTTTTATCTGATTGTGTTCTCATAGCTTGAATGTTGGTATAACAGTTATCATGAGGAGTGGTGGCTTTTACTATAAGGATCGATTGGGTCGAACTCGGGGACCAATGGAGCTGATACAACTTAAAACAGCTTGGGGTGCTGGAATAATCGACAAGGACACATTCGTTTGGGGTGAGGACTTGGATGAATGGGCTCCAATTCATATGGTCTATGGATTAGAACGTGCCATTGCCACATGGGAAGGTAGGCATATTGTTTTGTCAATTTTATGCTACAAATTCAAACGTTGCACAGGAAAGTCACAGCAAGCATAGTCTACTGTGTAAAGCATTCTAGATATGCATGCTACTATTCGTCAGGGATGAAAGTGCCATGTTTAGGGAACTGGTTTCATTTTAGATCTTATCTCTGCCACTTGATTATTTGATGTTGTCAATTCTGGCCGTTGAACTTGATTAGAAGGGCATCCTCGGGTTGGTAGAAGGGTACTACTGTTCACCAGTGCTGCTCTTTTCTAGAAAAGAAAATTAAAGCTGCTTTCTGTCTACTTCTTATGCCACTGTGAATGAGATATCTATTTACTTATTGATATGCGCTTTCAGTAAGACTGGGTGCTGCAGCCACTGCATTCCTTCACAAACTCCAGAAAGGAATACCTCCTTGGGTACCTCTCAAGGGGCAAGAGAAGAAAACTTACAAGCAGCTCCAGCAAGAAGCTATAGAAAGCAGGAGACGCGATCAAGCGGTACTCGAAGCCAATGACGGTATTTGGCCTGGAGTGAGAATTCCAAGTCATGCCCTATTTCTTTGGGCTGGTGGTTCAGAACTTACAAGCATTTTAGAGGCTGACCACATGCCGAACAAGTACATCCCAAAAGATCTCAGGTACTGCAGAAAGAAGTATCTGTCTTCTGGCTAGTCCTTTTAGCCACCAACCATTTGAAGCAAATAACCAATGCCTGACCAAGTGGGTGTACTTTTTGGTGATGTAGGATCCAATTGGCTAAAGTAATACCTGGTTTAAGGCCTTGGGAAGTTTTGAGCATTGAACAAGCAATGGATCAGATAACATATGGTGGACAATGGTACCGTCTACCCCTTGGTACTTACCATACAGGTCCTCCATACATTCAGCATTGGAACAAGGACGTTAAGGTGCGACTTGTTATCGCTCCTTTTCCTTTGCCTCTCTATTTGTTATTCAGCTTCTCTTTTACCACTCAAGTTAATAAAAATCGAAAGGACTAAACTTGTGTTCCATCATAATAATATTGAGAGAAAGAAGCGTTACTGAAAATGTTGACTATTGAAGAGCCTTTTTCCAAAAGTCATCTCCCATTCTTCCCTGATCACTATTCTAATTAGACTATTCTTATACTGAAAACCGTAAGTGGAAGATTAACCTTGGGCCCAGTTGGCAATGGCTACCCTTCTGATGATTGGGAATTTTATTTCAAAGATTTCTGCCTTTTACAATCCTGACTGGCAACTGACATATAGAAAGGGGAACGAAGAGAGTGGATTGCCGAATATTTTCCTATTTCAACCCTCGCTTGGCCCATCCGGAAGGGAAAAAAAAACCTTTGTTTGGATTTTACAGAAGCCAAGTCTGTGCTTGTGCCCCAGGTTATTAAAAAAAAGGCTTCTGTTTAACTGTCAGTGCCCTTCCCTTGTTAGAGAAATCCAAGGATCCTATCAATTCTTCCTGGCTCCTGGTGTATTGCTTCTGTGTAATCTAGCTCTCATCCCCCCCTCTACTGCTATTGAGCTAAAAGCCCATGCATCTTTGACGAAAGCTCTCACGCTATACTTTTAGTGCACTTTTCGTGTTGGTTTCATTAAGTTCTTTGACACTTAGAAAGGATGACCCTATTTGTGTCACCAGTTATTAGTCAGTTTAATTGTGGCACAATATAGCTGTCACTGCAGAACATTAGCTCTTTATTGGATTTTTGGTGAAGGGATGATGAGATATTTTTCTTTCTTTCCTTGTCATGAGAACGGCTAAAAGCTATTTATGCATGATGCCCCTCCTCACCTTTGTTTATTGTTCTCTCAGAGAATGTTTAGGATTTTCTTCAACTTGAGCACTAGAGTGTACAGCAAACTAGACAGGACCATACCTGGTTTTACGAAAATAATGGAGAAAGTCCATGCTGACGCGGCTGCAAGGGATTCAAGACGGCAGGAGAGGAGGGAGGCACAAAAGAGAGCCGAGCAGGAGGAGGCCATTTATGGTAGAGCTCGGAAAAACCCATAGCATCGCCTATGATCGTTGCCCTGCGGTTCAAGCGATACTCTTAAGATACTTTTATTGATTGGTTCAACCTGTGCAGCATCAGTTTAGGAAGCAGGTTCTTCTGTTTTTTCCCCGTATGTTTGTGATGGCTCACTTTGAGTTTGAAATTAGTTGTTCGATAATGCCGGCAAACCCTTGAAATGCAAGGTTTGTAGTTTGTAGTCTGTAGTCTTGCGTTCGAGGGAAGAGAAGACTAACAAAGTGAAATCTACTTTAGATTTGGGGCTGGTCAGGTTGAATGAATTGCCTGTGTTTCTGTATTGAGAGGATTGGCATCATGCATCTTGCATTGAATGGGGCTTCCTGTTGTTCCAGTATCTCTCTGCAAATTCTGCATAACATTGAGAATGGGGGAGTGGGCAGACTTAAAGTTTGTGAAGTTTGCCATCTGTTTTATCTTTCTTCTCTCCCGGCATAAGTTCTGTTTGAGACTCCTTGAAAGACCTTCGGGTGTCGCCTTGCGTTCTTAAGTTTTTGTGATTCTCTTTTAGGATGCGTTCATTCACGGAAAATGAGTGATTTAGAAAATATTTTTCTGAAAAATAATTGCTTATATTGTTTAGAAAAATTAGTCGACGAAACATATTTTCATCATCGATAATAATCTATTCAGCATTATTTTCGTGACCGATGAAAAAATTTTCTATTCATATTTTTTTAAACGATACAAGAGATGATTTTAATTTGAGATATCGATTCTCAATGAAATCGTTGTATGATATTAGTATCTCGAACACTATGTTGTATCATATAATTAATTACAGAGCAACTAAATAAAGAACGTAATATTTAAAACCATCTCCTGGAATTAGATTTCCCTGGTAATCAAACATTATGATATAGATATCTTCACAGATTTCTTCAAAAAGGGTTATTGTCGCAACTTGATGATCAAAATAAAATCTGTGAATTATATATTTTCCATCAACTGATATATCTTCGGTACTACTAATTTTATTAGCGTTGCCACCGACTTATAGCGGAAATCCATACGAGCCACGCGGGACACGTCGGCCGAGAAACGACGTGTCGCCTCCCCATTGGTGCCAGGAAGAGACAAATCGCTACGAAGAACGTGTAACAAAGCCGGGGGGGGCTTCGCAGTTCCGACCGAAGCTCTGGACGAGGACGTTTGTCCCCTTTCCTTTTTTTCCTGTTTTTTAAGCTCTGCATGAACATGCTTATCCAGTTCCAAAGGTTGGATTTCTAGACGGAGTCATGACGCCAGATCTCAGTCCAACTTCATTCCAGAGCGATGGAGGCGAGCATCAGCAGGGAGCCGAGGATGGAGCGGAGAAAACGGAGAGCAAGACGTTCTTGAACAGTCTCCTCTCCACCATCATCCCGGAAAAGGAGCCGCCGGCGACAGCGGCGGGTGGAGCCGACGGTGGACACGACGGCGGCGCCGGCCATGTGGGTCACGAGGAGGGCGGAGAAAATGGGGGCGGCGGCGGCGGCGGGATCATCGGTCACTTGATCTCGAGCCTCGTCTCTCCGGGGAGCCCCGGGGAGGGGCGGCCGTCGGGCAAGAGGAAAGCCGAAGTCTTGGGCGTCGAGGACGGCGGAAGAGGCGGCGAGGTCGACGGGGTTTCGAGGGCGAAGAGCGGCGGCGGCGGCGAAAGTGAAGCCGTCGGTGGTGGCGGTGGAGTGATAAGCAGTCTCATTTCCAGCTTCTTTCACTCAAGCGAGGAGGGAGGAGGAAGTGCTGCCGACGCCGCCGGAGGTGATGAGGTAGAGAGGCATCGGGCGGCCGAAGGAGGCGAGACGGCGGCGGCGACGTCGGAAACGGAGGAGGGCGGCGAGAGAGGCGGCGGCGGCGGTGGCGGCATCATCGAGAGCATCGTTTCTCACCTGCCTCCGTCTCTTCCAGGTACATCTAAGGATCAGCTCTTTTATTTTCAAAACCATTTATTTTTTTGTGGAATGAATGGATAATCACTGTCAATTTTTTTTTAATTCTTTTGTTTTTACCATTTGGTGAGCAGAGGATGCAGCAGGTCCGACTACTGATGAGGCCTCTATTCTGATTCATTCCATCGTTCGAGACTGATGAGAAGCCAATTTTTCAAAATTTTCATTTTTTTTCGGTTGGTCCACGGGAGGAACCTTTTATTTTTTTTGGTTTTTTTTTTTTAAATTCTGGTGATTTAGGGACAAAAATTGTGCAACTTCGGTATGTTGATGATCTCTTTGTTCGTGCGATGATCTTTTGAGAATGTGCGTGCTAATTGATGTGTACATTTTCCGTACTAAGTAGAGGGATTTACCAAACAAGTTTGAGCAAATCCAACTTTTCAAAAAAAGTTGAAGAATATCATATTATTGATGATAATCCCATAAATCGAAATTGATGTACATACACTTGTTCTAGTATGTCTTTCGAAACATATCCTTCCAAAATATAGTTCTAGCCCCTTAAAAATCGGAACTTATCGTGGACACAAAAGACACGTCGGTGGCTGGTGGTAGGCATTCGGGAAAGTCGGGCTGATCGGGTGTCTTCTGCGTTCAAGGAACGATACATAAGAAAAGTGAGACGGAGTGAGAGGTTGGGGGAAGAGGTATATCTAATCGAAATTGCGAACGGAATTATAGCCAACACGTCGATATCGTCTTTTCTCATTTGATGAATTCGAAGATTAAGAGGTTGTCTCGTCCCGCTTCTCGCAATTGTAATCAATGGTGTCAATGGGTCGGGTCGGATCGGGTTTTTATTATACCTGACCCAGCCCGAAACTAATAGGGTCGCATTTGACCCGACCTGACTCGACCCAAGACCCTATTCAGCATATACCCCAAGGGTAGGGTCGGGTCGGTCCGGGTCAGGTTTTGGGTTTAACTTTTTTTTTTAAATATATTTTCGAAATTTTTGTATTTTAGAGAAAAAAAATCAGCTCAAGGTGGTTTTGTTCGATCCCAAACCCTCATTTAGATGACCCCAACCAGCTCATCTTGAGTTATGTGAGGACAAATTGCAGAGCTAAAGGTGGTGATGGACAGCGTCATTCTCCTCGCAACGATGCTTCTCTCTCCCAGCCATTCTCCTCGCCATCTCCTGTCCCCATCCCCATCCCCATCTCCGGCCCCCAGCGAATCCTCTCTACAGCCCCGAAGGCTGCCCCTCCGTCGACCGTCGCCCCTCCTCCGATGAATCCTCGGAAGTGGCCCACGGTCCTCGATGAGGACACCTACGTCTCGGCGATCAAGAAGATCATCGAGCGCGACTTCTTCCCCGGCATATCGAAGCTCTGTGATTGCCTCGACTGGCTCGAGGCCATCAGGACTAGCGATCCGTCCAAATCCGGGATGCCTAGCTGAAGATCGCACTTGTCGAAGCAACTTGTCGCCAGAATCTCTCGACCCACATTCCTTGCAAGGCACGTCGCCATAGCAGCCATCGCCGCCGAGCCCACCGCCGTCCTCAAACGGGGGTCGAGAGAGCGGCTTCGGCGCTCGGGTCCTGCGACCCCGTCTTGGTCTTTGTCATCGAAGAAGACATAATTGTTGGTTAGTTGAACGCGAGAGAGAGGGGGGCGGCCGTACAGATGAGAGCACCTGTCGATGGCCGAGGCGGCGATTGGGAAGTGGTGGTGACTGGCGGCGACTGGCGGCGGTGACTAGTGGCGAAGGTGGCCAAGGGAGAGGAACTCATGAGATAAGAGCATCTGTGTTTTTTTCGATCGAGATCTAGAGAGCTTTCTCCATAACAATTCGTCCCTGCACCGCCTCCTCCCCTCCTTTTTGCTCTCTGGCACTAGTGTAGTACCAGGGGTATCAAAACAGCCCGGCCCAATCCGGTCCGGCCCGACCCTAACTATACCTATACTTAAAAACCCTTACCCAAAGAAAACTAATGCCTGACCCCAAAATTTCGGGGTAGGGCTGGGCTGGGTCAGGCTGGACCGGGTCAGCTCGGGCTTTTTTGACACCCCTAATTGTAATCATCGGAGAGGGAGAGGCGCTTCTTTCTTTTACATAATACTTGACAAAAACATCCCACTTTTCAAAAGTCGATCTTTTCGAGCCGTCGCAATTTATAGCACGCATAATCAAAAGCACGCGTCGTTAGCACGTAATAACAAAACTACACCCAATGAACTCTACAAACGTTTAAATCACGTCGAGCTATTTTTACAATTCCTCTTTCACGTACTCATCAATTCATGCTTGAAAGTTTCATTTTTTTTTTCCAAACTCAAGGACAATGAAGAAGTGATGAACATTGAACCGGAGCGGCAGCCTATTGAACCGGAGCATTGGGCCATTCGATGGGCCTGGGCCCAAGAGCAGGCCCAAAAGGGTCAAACACCCTTCTTCAGTTCTTCTTAATAGGTAGGGTTTTAGCTCGCGGCGTCGTTCTCTCTCTCTCTCTCTCTCGTTCGATAGCTTCACCCGCCGGCGACCTCTGCAGCTCCTCCGCCGTCGAGCTCAAGCTGATCCTCCGCCATGGTCAGTGCCTTCTCCCCCCCCCCTTGATTTTCTTTCGCTGGTCGTCTGCATCTCTCTCTCTCTCTGCGGCTGCGAATCTGCCTTGCCTTTCGTGCTTCGATTGGGTTTTTTCTCGCTTGTTTCGATCCCGCTTCGTTTGAATTCCGAGAAATTTTGATGCGCCCACGATTCATTTTGGCACCGGCATTATCGAACCCTAGTTAGATGCTCGACGACGTGTTCGGGATCTGTTAGCGATACGGCGGCGGTTATGGGCGATCTTGTTTTGGACTTCAAACTCTGCTGCTGCCGGAGTCTCGTTACTTGAACTGATTGTTCGAGTCGCGAGCTCGTTATGAGCAAGCTTGCGTATTTCTTTTGATGGTGACTTGAGGGGGGAGATCGGTGTCTAGCGAATCTCTAACTTTTGCAACTCCTATCGGGCTCTTCGCAGTGGTGGGCATAGCTGCTTCTGTAATTTTGCATCGTCTCAGATGGCATGAGCGCTTTCTAATGTGTCGTACCATTTCGGGCAAATGGGGATCGATTCTGAGGGTAATCCTGAATGGTATCAGTTAATGGGGTGCGCAGAACTTTTTTCTCCATGCATGCAATTTCAGCGTGGATGTCTCTTCTTCTTAACACTACCCTTTTAAGTTTAATTGTTGATTTGGTGAATTCAGAACTGAAAGTATCACTCCAACGCTTTAAGCTGCAAGTTTCTGTCAGTGAATAAAGAGCATTTTCATGACTGAATTTGAAGTAAAAGAGTTTAAGAATAATTGAATTGGTCCATATCACAAAGCAAGATCAAAATGAAAAGGAGAGAAATTTTTTGACTGTAGCCTAAAAATTTGGATAAGATTTGGTTAGGTGATTTCTTACATATCTGTGGTCTTGAGAATTTGATTCCTCAAGCCTGCTCCCTCTCTCCTTGAAAATCTTACATCCAACTATGAATTGGTGGTTACTAAAAGAATCCTGACTAGAGAAGTTGGTACTTATTTTAGAGAATTTAAGTTGCCGGCATTTTTACTTTTCTTATGATTAATGAGGCTACAGTCAAAGTACTACTACTAATTATATGAGGGCACTTTATAGACATGCATGTTCTGACATGAAATTCTTGGATTCCTGACACTTGGTGTCTCTCTGCATTGCAGGCTCGAGGGTTGAAGAAACACTTGAAGAGGCTAAATGCCCCAAAGCATTGGATGCTTGACAAGCTAGGAGGTGCCTTTGTAAGTGATCCTCCTCAGCCGATCTTCTCTCGTAGGAGTTTGGTTCTTGTGCTTCTGATTATATCTTTTTAATTTTCTTTTCCATTCTGCAGGCACCAAAACCTTCGTCTGGACCCCACAAATCAAGGGAATGCTTGCCTTTGATCCTTATCCTGCGTAACAGGCTGAAATATGCCCTTACATATCGTGAGGTTATAGCCATCTTGATGCAGCGCCATGTTCTTGTTGATAACAAAGTGAGGACAGATAAGACATATCCTGCTGGTTTCATGGGTATGTGCACTATACGTTTCTGTTCCGAAGCTGTGCATCTCATCTTGCCTAGGAATCAGGCAGAAATTATATATATAAATACCCAAGACTCGAGATGACATTAGTATTCACTTGATCTTTCCTGTGAAATCATTCCTACTGTTGCCTGTGTCCACATACTTGGTTAATTGTAAAGCTAGCTTGAAGCATTTAAGTCATTGCCACAGATAGCTGGCTATCACATGTGCCCATTGTATGTGTATAGGAATCATGTATAATGCATATATTCATATTCATGCATGTGCTCTAGAGTGCCCCTTTCATTCGGAGAAACTATGCTTGTGCCACAATTGTATGGAGCATAATCAAACTGTTTTTTTGGGGAAAATAACATAAATCATCCGCAAATATGGTCTTATGTTACATTTTGCATCGTCTACGTCAAATTATACACGTTGCATCTTACGGTTTTAAAAACCACACCTGGGAAGAAGCTATGGAGAACAAAGGCCAGGGTGCGAAGGGTCCTTTTTGAAACTGTCCGATGCAAAGTAAGAGATCTTGAAACTAGAGGGTGCAAATAGGTTTTGAAATTAGAGGATGCAAAGTGTTATTGAGGCAAAAGTTGAGGATGGTTTTTATAGTTTCCCTTTTTCTTTTGCGACAGTCTCTGAAGCTTATAACGTGTGTTTAATGTAACTGCATGGGAAGATAGAATGTTAAGGAACTGAAAATCCTATTTTTTATCATATAATGGTGCGAGTAAAATGAGGATTGATTTGGGTGGTCAAAATAGATGGGCAACTGGACCATTGGTCATTTTGCTTTGTGTTATAATCTCTTGTGTGACACCCGAGTCTCAATTATAATTGAGGATTTTATGGTCTTGTCAGATGTTGTGTCTATTCCGAAGACCAATGAGAACTTCCGCCTCCTCTATGACACAAAGGGCAGATTCCGGCTTCACAGCATTAGGGATGATGAGGCAAAGGTCTGTATTCTGTCTGACTTAACTTTATAAGGGTGTTAGGTCCTGTTTGGTTTCGCTTTCCCAAGGGGCTTTCAGCCTCCAAAGCCCCTTGGGGAAATGCTAGGGTGTTTGGCAAGTCTTCCCAATGGGAAGGCCCTACCAGCTTTGGGCAAATGCTGCAACTAATTGTTTTCTTCCCAAACTACCCTCACTAATTCTTTAATTTGTCGGTTTTGCCCTCGTTGTTACTGTTCATTTCTTTGTGTGAGGGCGGCTAGCCCTAGCCAACGAGGCTAGATTGGGATGGTGAAGGGCCGGCGAGGGGCTGGCGAGGTTGCGCCACCATAGCGAGGGCTGCCTAGAGTCGCACGACCGCCCAGGTGACGGTTGCCTGGGTTGCGTGACCTCAGGCCTCATCGTCGGAGTGTCACGCAACCCAGGAAACGGTGGCTTGGGTTGCGCGACCCAGGTGGCAGTCCTCGGAATCGCGTGACCCCAAGCGGACGGCCGCCTAGGTCACGTGACCTCAGGGGACGGCCGCCATCAGCCCTAGCCCTTCGCCAGAGCTGTCGAAGGTTTGCTTTTTTTTTTTTAATAGCAAAAGACCGAAAAGCCCTTTTCAAAATAAAAATTACCAAATATTACTTAGGTCAAAGTAGCTTTACAAAGGATCTTTTACCAAACGCAATTTGCATTTCCCCAAGGGGCTTTAAGTTAAAAGTATTTGCATTTCCACAAGGCTCATTTGCAAATCCGAACCAAACGGGGCCTTAATCTATCATTCTGTTGAATTGTTCATATGAAGTATCCTTTTGTTCCTTTGTGGAAGTGGAGATGGCAATAAGCTTTATTCTATGCTCACAATAAGTTGTCATCTGCAGTTTAAGCTATGCAAAGTGCGATCTGTCCAGTTTGGGCAGAAGGGCATCCCTTATCTGAACACTTACGATGGTCGTACAATCCGCTATCCAGACCCTCTGATCAAGGCCAATGACACCATCAAGCTTGACCTTGAGGCCAACAAGATCACTGACTTCATCAAATTCGATGTTGGGAATGTTGTCATGGTGACAGGTGGAAGGAACAGAGGGCGAGTTGGTGTCATCAAGAACAGGGAGAAGCATAAGGGTACTTTTGAGACCATCCACGTCCAAGATTCTCAAGGACATGAGTTTGCTACTCGGTTGGGCAATGTCTTCATTATTGGTAAAGGAACAAAACCCTGGGTGTCTCTTCCCAAGGGCAAAGGTATTAAGCTGTCTATCATTGAGGAGGCCAGGAAGAGGCTTGCAGCCCAAGCATCTGCCACCGCTTAAAGATGTTCATGATAATTTGTTCATCATCAGTATTATTTTGGGGCTATTCGAAGGAAGCAGTGGACGTTATGGTAGAGAAGAATGTTTTGCTTTCCTTCTAGACATGTCTGGACTACTTTCATTCTTGCACCTCTTATATTTTGAACTATTAAATTTAATAGTACTCAAGACAAATTAATCAATCCTCCCAAATCTTATTTCTTTGGAATTGGACTAGTCCTTTTTGTTCTCTTATGATTTGGTGTAGAAGTTTGTTTAGGCTTTATGCTTAGAATCTGTTACCTAGGTAATGCAATGCATTGTCGAGAATTGTTTTGTAGGAATGGATGAGGCACTTCCGATTATTTGGCCACAAAAATCTGCACGTGCCGATGCATGGACAACCCATTTTCTTCAGCTTTAGTATTTTCTTCAAGTGTCATGGAGGCATTTTGTGTTTCAAAAACAGGTAAGAGTAACAGAAGTTGGGGTATTATTCTCAAGAATTAGTAAGTTCATTGATTTTCTAGTGACTAGTAATTATGTCAAAGCTCTGCAGGATATCGTCAACCCATTTTGGAGTGTTCGTGTTGATGCTCATCTTAGAGTTTCGGTGACCCTTTCCTGCCATGGCATGTTTTTCATTTCTGGGCCGTCTATTCAATGATTTGGCATTTTTACTTGTTGAGTTATGAAATAGGAGCTTTACTAGGAAAAGCTTTGAAAGATTAGAAATATTTCTTTGGTTACTGAACTAAACTGGTACTCCAAGAACAATACTTAATGTTCGTTTCCGCGTCATTTCGTTCCGATGCAAATGGGACATCGCATGTCAAAAAACATCAGTGTCGTATCATCGGCTAGAACATGGAACCGACAACGAAATGTCTCGAACTTGGCAGGAGATAATCACGGTTTTGACACAGAAATAAACCAAGTCACAAAGAGAACAAATTTCGGTGGGAGAATAATAAGTTGGTTAGACGTCATTTTGGTTCAGATATCTTTCTTCTTCCAAATTTTAATTAGTGGCTTGCGTCTGACATAAAGACTTGGTTGAGTAAAAGAAATGAAACATGGTCGATGAGATGGTGAAAGAAACACAATTCGTTTATGATATCCTCAGCTGTTATGCTATCCGAAGATTAAATTCAGGGCAATCACACAAGTCCTTCAGCCGGGTAAAAACCACTCGAGCTGTGTGGGTTTCCTCGTCCCTGCAGGCCGAGTGAGATCTCGAGAGCACCCTGGTAGGAAATCAAACCGTGCATCCGATGCTTGTGAGAGCGATTCCCATGCCTGGATACACTAACATCCCGAGGGGGCATTTGTGGTCATTCATGGGATATTATGCATGACTTGCTATCTTTAATTGGTCATTCAATTTGATAATCTAACTCAAGCGTAAGCTTAGTGACAGTACCTCTGCATTTGTCTAATCATCTCTTGAGCTTACACTTCAAGTTGATCACGCCACTAGTGGACAACCCACAAGAGAGTCTGAGAAAAACTGGATGCACCCAAACACCAGTGAACTGAAAGAAAATCCAACCAACCGTTTGACCAGGGACCCATCACCTTTCGTTTTTCCAAAATTTCAAAAATATAGAATTGAGAATCTTTGGTTGAGAGAGAAGAGAAATCGGCAAAATTCCAAAGCAACTTTTTTTATGTTTGCCTGCTTAAAAATGTGTCATTGTTCCTAGTATGCTCTTTCTAATTCTCCACCACACACACACTTAAAAAATCTTGTACTGTTATTGTCCTAAGCCATTATCTTCTGGCAAGAGTTTGCTTAAAGGTCCCCACACTTCCTCACCCAGATCAATACAGTCCCTGAAAAGTGTCATGATAAGCTAAAGTAGTTGACACTGATGAGTCCTTGACTGATCTAGTGTGCAAAGAAATCCCCTCACCTAATAGTAGTTTCATTAAAAAAAAGTTATTTAAGGGTAGTTTGGTTTAGTTATGGCCGGGACCTACACAAGAAGTTAAAGTTTGGACATACCATGTACTTTTTTACTTGCGATAAACATATGATAAAAGGTGACTCGCTGTGTATGAATATATAAGCAACTTATCTCAAATGAAGTTTATTTCAATGAGCTAGAGCATTTGGTGCAATAAATTGGACCCTTGTGACTTTTCTAAATGATTATTGGATTAAGAGGACAAGCACTAGTGTCTCATTGCATTTTAATAATGTTTAGTTTATAAAAGAGGAATTTGATTGCATGGAGCGTCCTGTCCTGATCAGTGTTGTTTAGTGGCATGTCTGTTTAGGTTTGTTGTATAGCTTGTTTAGCATTGTTTTGTTGAGTGAAGTGAGGAGATGAGAGGCAGAGAAAGAGAAAAATGATTATAAAAGGAAGTGAATGAAAGTGAGAGTGTGAGTGAGTGAGGGAAAGCAAAATGAGGATGAACAGGTGGAGAAATTGGTCATGCTTCGGAAACTCACTTCTCTTCCAAACAAAGTCTGTGCTTCGCAACTTCACTTCATGCCACAGATACAAGGCCAAAGGTAACTTAAGAGCCTATTACACACGCACACACGCACACTACACAAGAAACAGGAGAGTTTTAGCTTTATGTTTGGATTGAGCATTGGGTTTAAACAATTTCTCTTCTGATTTGGGGTGACATGTACTGAAGGGAACATGAATGGCCTCATGATGCTTTACAAGGACATGGAGTCTTGTGAGGAATGTGGAGACATAAGAGTGATGTGGGAGATGATTCAGTCTACTCGTCCTCCTACTAGCATTCACAACACCAGGAGACGCTGGACTTGGAGATTCTGCTTCAGGCCAAAGGAGACAGACTGTAAGTCATAAAATGATGTTGGTCGATTAGATCAACTTTATACGCCCAGGAATTCGTTTTTGAAGCTAGCTTATATTCCACTACCTGTGGAGGCAAGACGGCTAGATCCTGTATTTTTGTTCCTGGGGCTCACATTTGTATAAATTTCTTGCCAATATAGACCATGATTACGATGAAAATGTTTTTGACCGCTTGAGTATCTGTGCAGATGATGGTAGTTGGTTCGAATTGGGGAAAATTGACCTGATTTCTGAGGTTGAATGAAATCAACAAGAGGCAGTCGGTAGCAAAGTCGATCTTCAAATAAACACATGACCTGAACCTAACAAGATGATCTGAAATAGCCAAATCTCAGGCAATATGGAAATACTCGTGTTTAATATACTAGACAATTACTGTATCTAATCCATTGCCTAAGAGCTTTGGGTCCACTATCCCATATACTAAAACTCGCATATGCCGAGGTACTTCCTCCAAAATTTCAGGGGCTTGACTTGAACATTCTCTGTGACAGTGACCACACGACGGGCAAACAGATTCATATCCCAACCAAGAAATGATCTACATGACTGATTCAGAAATGGGGAGGATTTGGTACAGGACTAGTCATTACATTCTCTTTTGAATATTAAGATCGTAAACCAAACTGTTTTATTGGTCTTGCATAAATGGATGAGAGCCACCAGTTGTAGTTAACAGATTGTACAACACGAACATGGATAAATTGCATGTATTTGAAACTAGGATGAATGCAGCCTCTAGAATGCTTCGGTAAGTTCCAAATACCTCCTGTGAAACCTTGAGCTTCCACACGTACATGGTGAGCAAAAGGCGGACGCCAAATAGCTTCCTCAGCCTTCAAACCACTGATACGAGTCTCTACAACCACTATGATATCAGTGGCAGCAAGCTTATCTAGATCCTTAACCACTCCCCGAAACTTAATTGTTTCCGGCATCCTGGCAATTCCAAACAAGCATACGCATGAGTAAAGTAAATAAGAATAGGTGGATTACCTTAACTGCATGGCCTGATCCTTGTCTCTGACGAAGAACTTTTATGTACATTACAGTTTTACGTAGTCGAGGTCAATAACCTTCACATGACTGGTCTCAATTGCTTCTCCTCTATTCAAAAGACTAGTTCATCAGACATATCCTTTCACTTTTAGCATTTGAGTCCCCCGCGGGGACTTCCATATCTTCAACTTCCTCTCTCTTGATCTCAGGAACCATAAGCGATTCTCTTCAAGATGGTCCACGAGGAGTACCCGAAAAACCTGATTCCTGTGCCGTAGCATCAGGAGCTTCCTCAGCCTCAGCCCCAACTTTGGCCCTCTTAAGTTGGCGACGAAGGCTAGTCGGCGGCGGCGCATAGGGGTGCGAAAAAGGGCGGGTCATTGTCAGACGGCATATTCAGCTTATTCCGACAGTATACTACATATGTCAGATTGATTAAGTTTCTTTGTCATCGGTTTTGATTTGATATTTCAATATAAGATGATAAAAGGAAAGAAAGATACTATATTCATGTGTTCTTTTGAAAATTTTCTTGCATGGTGATCATTTTAATGGTTTTAGATATTTATTATTTTAACCAATCTATTTTCATTGAGAATAAATAATTCTTTTACAAATTTCAAGAAGAAAACATATCAAAGTAATAATTATGTGAGGTGGAGTGGTAACCACATAATAGATAGAGTATTTTTTAAGCTTTATTGATAAGAAGTTATTTCTTGGACATGAAAAGGAAGAAAAAACAAAAGATTTAAAGCAAAGTGAAGTGACGTGGCCATCATCGGATGGGCCAGATGTCAACTCCCCATAAGGCCCGCCATGGAGCACCAAAATACCATAACAATATCAGATTAATTAAATTCTTACAAAGTTTCATAGAGATTAACTTGCTTGTTGATTTTAGTATAGTGCACCATTTGCAAAGAGCCTCGAGTCCTGCAACTGCTGGTGCAGCAAACTTCAATAGCAAAGCCAACCGGATCTACAGAGAAGCCAACTTTTCATAACATGCTGAAGTTGCATAACATCAGAAGCTACCAAGAACAACCAGTGAACCACTTCGACATTGACACATGATTACTAATATGAACAGCAAGTGAACTCCAGAAGCTATAGCTGCATCCAGATTACAAAGATATTATTAACTTTAACTTTTAGGAACAATTCGAATACTTATTACTTACATCAAGCAATCATAAAGTACACTGCGTGAGTGCACCGCGTGTTATGTCAGAAGCTCTATAATACAAGACCAAGTCGCCAAGATCTTCAACCAAATGGAAAAGACCTCAAAACTTATCAACAGTAAACCCAGTTCTAGTAACCTCATAAGCTTCTCTGCTTCTCGTTTTCCTCACACCGGCGGTGAAGTGAAGCTTCGACGCTTCAGATGAAATTGACGTCACCTTCACCCAAATCATCACCTTTGTCTTCATCCCTCCTATGTCCGCTAGCTTCCCTTTAGTCAAAATTCCAGTCACCGTGGTGGAAAGACGTAAAACGGAGGAGTCTCTGTAGCCTACTTCACAAACTGATGGTATGAAGACAGTGAGCTTTCCAGTCTCCTCATCGAACTCATAATTGGTAGCGTCACGAGGGAAGAGCCCTATTGGTAAATCATATTCCTTCAGAAGATCTGGCAATGGCTTTTGCATCTTTCCTGCAAACCGAAGCTATGAGTGAGGTTCATGCAAAAGAAATAAGTCTACCAAAAGGAACAACCCTCAACCTGATGTAAAATGCTCATTCTTTACAAGTTTTGTTTGCGAAGTGCATCTCAAAACTATTTAAGAACAGTAAAATATTGGAGAAGTGAATGCTCTTGGCACAGCCTATGATAATGAAATTAAGAAGACGTGTCTATCTCATCAACTCTTTTTATATATTGAAAGGCACCGCTCCAGTAAAGCAAGGGATGCAATACACAAAATCTCTAATGAAACAGAAAAAATCATGTTGTCTTTATAGTTATAGTACCACATTATATTTGTGTTCAGGTCAAATCAACCATGCCATCAGATTCATTGCAAGTGACCCATGGAAATAAGAGGCTTTCATATGGTTATCTTTTGGTGTGGCAATAGATGCCCAAGGAGATAACTGATAGCCGTGATATCACATTGAGGAACTCAACAAAGGTCGTCGACCCTTTAATCAGCGTTCAATTTTTTGCTGCTGGGGCATCAGCATATATTTGGACATTTATGAGGATCATTATTTTATTTTTGTAAAATTTATTAGGATCATACGAACCTTTACTAGGGGGAAAAATCAAAGTCAGGCTGCGCATTGGCAATGTGAAGAGAACTTTTGTTAAAGGAAAAAGACAATAAATTAGTACTATAAGGCCAACATTTCTCAGTGTACAAACAATATGCCAGGTTATGTTATGCAAAGAAGGCTCTCCAAATTTCAGAGAGCAGAGCTGGTGAGTAAGAGCATCATAACTTAATGATTAACACACAAGCAAATAGTGGTAAACAAGATCTGTGTTAAGAGCAAACCTTTCAGTTTGTTGACCAACCATTTAGTACCACTTTCGATGCTGCTTGACATCGACTGTTTTTCAAAGGAAAAACTGTTATCAGAAAAAAATATTTAAAAAACATGCATAATTGTATGCTAATGAACTTATGAACATGATGATGACAACAAGTTTAATTTCTTTTCTCCCCTGATTTCTACCACTAAGCGAGAGCAGATACCCACGTGTGTTTGAGCACGCGTGCAGGGTAAGAGAGAAACAGGTCTTGTACATTTTGTAGATTTTTATGCCAGTAAATTTAACTCCAACCAACAAAGGATTTTAAACGTCATAACTGATCTACAAAATCACATGCATATGCTGTCTGACACATGCTTGTCAAGACCTACCTTGACCTGAGAAAATAGGACTTCTTTTTCTCAAAATCATGTATTAAGCAAGCCAGGACACATATTAAGTAAAGACCCTCTAGTTTTTAACATGTGATTCTGTCTAAATGCATGAATAAAGACCTAACTTACAATTACACCTATTCAGGCCCTGATTGGCAAAGCCATCACTGTTCATTGGCGTCCACCATTACGACACTTAAAGGGCAGAGAAACTAATTACTGCACTTCAGAAACCCATAAAAATTCACCAAAATAAAAGACATGAGCAACTCAAAACCAATGAGCTTTCAGCTGCATCTGGACAAAACTTTATCAGTGCTTTTAACTACAGAAACACGTCTCAAACAAACCACACAATTTTCTCCTTCCTAATACTAGCATGGTTGGACAGAAAATCAATCGAGGAAACATTGGTGTTAGAGAGGTATAGCTTCGATGAACCTGCATGAAAGCAAAACTATAGCATCCATTTCCTTAAGGAATTGTTAGTTGCATGTTCATTCTCAATAATCAATATCATACTATCTGCAAATGGAGAATATTTAGCTAAAAAGAGAAAAAGTCTACCACCAGTGGATCATTTTATTGAGCAAAATACTTTAATCCATCTCTTCTCCGATTACAAGAACCAGATAAGCGATGTAAGAGAAAGGGCAAGAGATGCCAATCATACACAGATTGGTTTACGTCAGACTGATTCACAAGGTAGGTGACATGCAGACACAATGAAAAGATTCGACGATTATTGCTTTGTGCCATCCGTCACTCAAAGTCTGTATTAATCACAAGTAAGATCAGACAAAACACATAATGATATTGCCAAAATACAATCGCGACAGACAAGGATAACAAAACCCACAAAAGAAGCTATTTTCCAAACATGTCGATTTCGTCCAAAAAGAAGCAACTTCACCACCGGATCAACATGAACAGAAGCTACGAATTACAAAATCGAAAAGGGACAGAGAGACAGGGGTACTTACAGTGAAATCATCGCCGACGGAATCAATCTCCTTGTTAGCTTTCTGGCTGAACCAATACGAACCCACCTTGCTCATTATCTGATCCATCCCGACTTTCTCCTCCTCTCAAGAATCCGACCCTTTTGACGATTATGCCACAAGCTATCAGCTTCCGAGTTCCCTCAGCCCAAAATGATGAAACACGTCTCCCCCTCCTGATAATCCGACCCTTTTGACGATTATGCCACAAGCTATCAGCTTCCCAGTTCCCTCAGCCCAAAATGATCAAAGACGTCTCCCTCTCTCTCTCGCTCGCTCGCTCGCTCGCAAGGGGGCCCGAAGAACTTTCAGACGGAAGACCAGGAACGCAGAGGAGCCGTCGCGGTCTTCCATGCGACTACGGCGAAGCTTCGGACTTTTGCGGTCCCGGGTTCCGTTCTAGAAGAAATTTTCAAAGGGCGAGATCGGGTCAGGTGTGGACTGGAACAGGGACCGCCTTTGAAAACGAACGCAAAGAAGACGTGGGAGCCGCACGAGTTGCATGCGGTCGTCCTTTCATTCAAAGCTCATTATCATCGTAGATTTACATTTAAGAAACTTGCACGATCGCAGAATATAGAACTGAGAAGACTTTAAGATCTAACAATCCTAAATTGAAAAGCCATTCTTAAAATTTTGTTTCGGGTTCACAAAACTATGTAAGAATCTTGAGTTCCTTTAACATACTATGGATTATGGGGGTAAATGATTTATCAAATTTAAAGGTTTTCGAGTATGCTCGAAAGGTAAATCTTCGAAAGTTCCGAAAGCCTATAATCATCTATATTCGTTACACAATTTAAGGATTATGTAAGAAATAAGCATTAATACATACCGGTTTCAATACCGGATCCAAACCCTGTGTAGGGCTTTTAATGGCGTACCTAAAACCCGTCCCGTCGCCAAAAATCCCAAACTCGTTTACATTCCATTAGGGTTTGAATGGGTCAGTACTTGATTATAGCCATTACGCTGCTTCCCCTACTCTTGGCTTGCTTAACTTCACTCATAATATACTTCGTCAAGGAAGGTCATGCACCATCGAAGGCTCGATTTGCTCATTGATAAAAGTCGCGATTTTTGTTTAAGCTGGCCAGCGGGCCAATAATAAGTAGCCAAGCACGTTCATTGATTAGGTCTAGTCAATAACTATGATGACCTACCATAATCCTATCTAGAGGTGGCAAAATGGGTGCGAGGATCTCGCAAAGAGGTTTTCGATGTTAGGATTATGGTTCGTGATTCGAGAATTAGGGCTTGCTTGGTAATTTTTTAGAGGAAGACAATTTAGCATTTTCTGCCTCGTGGTTTTTATGCGGGAGATATTGGGATTCCCATTGATCAAACTTCATCAATTGATCGAGCCCATCCATTAACTATGCAAACAATAGGGAATTTCGGCCACAAATTAATCCAATGGGTCCAAGATGTCCAAGATGGGCGTTCTAGCACTTGAGGTGTGAATGCAAAATGATCGGCATGGTTGGAGGATGATTTACACGGTGACAGTCAAAATTCAAGTTCCCACGAGTTCTAATGTTTTATCATTCCTATGTCTTTAATATTTGGGTAGTTCCCATGTTTCCGAGTTCCTTTGTCTTTAATATTTGGGTAGTTCTCATGTCTTTAATGTTTGGACTAGTTTCTGCGTCTCATTTTCTCTATAAATAGAGGTGAATTCTCAAATGCATGAATTCAGATTTAAAATTGATAATACACAATAATTCCTCTCTAGTGAGCGAATTCCCTTTTGGTTGTTTATCCAATTTACTCTCGTGAGCTCAAGTTTTGTATCCTTGGTTGATGAATTATTCCTTTATACTTCGATGGTGAACTTCATCTATCATATCCTTACATTCATCCAAGCAAATCTCATATCACACTTTCCATTTAAAATCACTTCCAGCAAACACTTTTCCATACACATCCCAGAAAACGAATTTCCTAATCTCACAATCTCTATGACGCATCAGGTTTGGTGCTAGAATGGAAAATACAAACCCCACGAGAAGATGCTTTCGTGGCTTGGGGACTAACACTCCGTAGAGTTGAGCGGAATTCGAATCCCCACAAGCAGTCTTCATTTCTCTGTCTTATTTTATCAGTCTTTGAACATGGTGACGACGACTCCTCGACATCAGGTGCCCTCTTCCATCCTCAAAAGGTCAAGTGCCATCTTCTTCTCGGACAGTGTCCTCTTCCATCCTCAAAAGGTCAAGGTGCCATCTTCTTCTTGGACAGCGAAACGCGACCAGAGCCGAGAGCCCTCGCAATTGCAGCGAGCCAAACCTTCCGATCAAACCCACCAACCCTTCGACCCTTCTTCACATGCATGTTTGATCCTCCAAATCTCGTTTTATACGGCAGAAACATTGCGCGGGAATTCATGCCATTGCCAAAGTAGCTCAGCATTTGACAGACATGATGGGAATTGATTTCACCTGATTAGATTTCCAATCAGGCACACGTCAAGATGCCGTAAGTTTTCGAGTATTCCTCACATGACCAGGGAGCATCGCTTCTAAGCATCTCAATTGTTAGATTCAAGGCATAAGGCACGTAGGGCATAAAACATCCGTTCATTCAATGATTCAGACGCACTGAAAAGGAAAAACAGAAGTCCTAGAGCAAGAATTATTTCTTAACAGTGTTAGAAACTCCCTGTCCTCGCGTTCAGTCTGCTGAATACCAAAAAGAGTTTTAATGCAGAATCTTGAGTTCCGACCAGCCCAGTTCGTCATACGACCATGCCATGCAAGAATCATGGAACTGCATGCGCTCGCGTTCAGATTGGCCTCTAACATTCTCTTTCCCTTGGTCCTCTGGCATGCATCGTTTAAACATGTCGCATGTGCATATGCATCGTCAAGTTCGTCGTTTATTTGGGTAGGATAGGAACGATTGATACGACGCCATTCATGAGAATATTCGATTCGAGTACTTTCAAGTCTTCCAATCTTATCAGATGCCTCAGAGTCCTGTAGAGTGACTGAAGAAAAGATTACGTTATCAAAACTTAAAAAGAGACGAAAGAAGGAATCTTTTCCGGCAAAGATGCAAAACTTCGATGACTATTGGTATCTGAATGTATTTCTATTTGCTGATATTCGAGGACGCTCGCAAACCGTCTCGTCTAAGGATCCCTTTATTTGAAGGAAAATTATTTTTCAATATTAGTTTTCCAACTTTTTGATGTTTTGACGAAGAAAAATTAATTAATTTACGAAAAATGTTTTCCAATGATTGAAAATAGCGAGCTTAGATTGGGGAAAAATAACTTCATTTTCTAGCAAGAAGAAAATTACTTACCCTAGACTATCAAATAATGAAAACTAACCATTTTCTTTGATATTGATTTTCAAGAAATCAATATCAAAGAAATTTTCAGTGAAATAAAAGCACCATACGGTTCACTATGCTCAAATAGTTTTGGGCATGGCATCCGAAGCCACCCTATTTGGAAGCCCTGTAATTTAAAATGTTACCTGTTGTATTCCGATCAAGCTCTTAATCACTCAATAATTTCATAATATAAAATTGGACCCGGCTACCATAACGGTGCCGTAAGAATAAAATTCTGACGGTACAATACTAGCCACAATTTTTAATGGAGGAAACTTGCACACTGCTTCGTCTGGTTTAAGCTTTTTTTGACTTTCCATTGTTGCCTTTTTTTTCTTGGCTTAATTTAAGATTAGATGATTTAAAAAGGCGCAAGAAGGACCAATCTAAAAGGGAAACCCTCACCAATTCTAGTAAGTGAAATTTCTTGAATATAAAAAGAAAACAAATTGAATTAAATATAGCTAATTACAAGTAGAAAAATATTAAACTAACTAAAAGGAAATCATTAATGTCATTGTAAAGATCTATTAAAATTCAAAAAGGAAAAACACTTGAAATGTTGACATTATAACTAATAACAAATTCATTGTGCATTGAATGACTCCTCATTCTTTTCAATCAAATCAAATTGATATAGAGGGATTCTCCGATGACCTAAAATCAAGACTAGTGATATCAATTCTATATAAAACAGGTGAATTAAAGACAATATCAAAATACAAATAATAAATTAGTAGACGAAAAAATTACCCTGTGTATTTGAATCTCATAGATGAAGATGTGCAAGGACTTGAAACATTACAAGATCAATCTTAGAATAATGATGAAGCAGCCGAAAAGTCATTTTCTCTCCCTCTCTTGTCACCGTCTTCTTAAACCTTTGTTCAGAGAAAATATCCACTATTTTAAAAGTTGCAATGAATCCTTCATATGTTACTTATTGTTTGAATATTATAATTTGTTTCTTTAAATAAAATAGGAAAATATATTTCATCTTGTTTGAATATTATCATTTGTTTCTTTGAAAAAAATGAAAAAAAAAACTCTCATTATGTGCCTTTTTAAACTTGTGGAAATTCCACCAAGTCAGAGACAAAAAATGTGAAAGGCGGGGCAAGCTGGTATCCCACATTCCAACTTTAAAACTGGGGGCTAGCAATTGACCGTTCATTTTGTGAAAATAACGGGACCGTTCTCTACTCATTTCCCTATAAAATTTAGTTGTAAAGTGTTATGCTAAATTCTCATAACTTATTATGGAAAAGTAAATCATACATCGCTAGCGTAAAAAGAAGAAGAAGATAATACATACAAGCAGCTTTATCCATCCTTAATTTGAGGATTTCAAAGGTGAGGAGGAAGACTGACCCGCGGGCAGAGTGACACTGGGTTGGGAGCTTGAACCAGCCATTTGATGACCTTGAAGAGCAACTTAGAACGAGAAGGAAACAAAGTTGGAAGCAAAGAAACGATTACATCACTGTCCAACGGCCGGGTTATAGTCTACTAGATTTAGTGGTCAGTGTAAGGCTTCCTAGCCAATCGGCCCTTGACAAGTGTCAAGATAGCGTCGCCAAGTATATATAACATCGACAGATGCATCTCAAGTATTCGATGTGACGGTTACATCTTATTATCGGATAGGCTGATCTTGACAAGACACCACTTTAATATTATTTCATTAGAGAATGTACCGTTGTTACCACTATTTGTAACGTTAGACATGTATTGATCCCCAAAACGATATGAACGCAACTTGTGATGCCCTTTCACCACTTGTCATCTACAGAGCGTCACATGTTCGACACTATTGACAACCTATCAACAATAACACAAACAATAGCGTGAACACTCAGGTACTGGCTCTCTCCAATTTACTCTTTCTTTCTAGGAAAGCGTCTCTCCCCATCCTTCCATCAACCTTCTAAATTACCCTCATTTCCAATGTTAACTTAAGCATCGGAGGGCCAATCCGGGCACAAAACCCGGACACCCTCACCCGTTTGATCTGGTGTAGATCAATTCTTCAGTGGAGTTTCAGACCGAGTTCGTGATTCCCATATCAAGCTTCAACATCTAGAATATTGAGCAGTCAACTAACA